CAGCAGGCCAAGCAGCATCAGAGGAGCAGGAAGGCTAACGTTTCGAGAAGGGTCTAGGCCCAAAACGTCAGCTTTCCTGCTCCTCTGATGCTGCTTGGCCTGCTGTGTTCATCCAGCTCTACACCTTGTTATTCTCAGATTCTCCAGCATCTGCAGTTCCTACTATCTCTGATACAAAACATTTCAGTTCTTCTTATTATGCTACTGGTCCTTTATTATTCACAATGTATTTGAGTTTGTGGTCATGAGCCATGACTACACTGCTCAAACATTTCACCCTCTGGAACCTTGTTCAAGTGAGGAGAGCGATTTATCAAAGAAGCATTTTGAAAAAAGAAACAGCATTGTAGTTTCAAAGTTATGGGTCTTAGCGAAAATTTGTAGCTTGGGTTGTGAATGTAGTTGTTCTGCTCGCCGAGCCATTTGTTCTGTGGTGTGCAGACATTTCGTTACCATTCTAGGAAACATCATCAGTGCCATCTCTAATCGAAGCGTTGGTGTTCTGCTCCGTTTCGAATTTATATGATCCTATGGTGTTGTGGGTCGTGGCACTTCTAGTTCTGTTTTTCAGCAACGATCTGTATACGGGGCCTATATGCCGAGTGCAATAGACATTACGTTGAACAAATGGGGAGGAAGCTGACAACCAGGATATACAAACACCAGCTGGCAGGAAAAAAAACAATATTCACTTGTCTCATTACACACAGACAATGAAGGCCATCAGTTCGACTGAGACAAAGTGACTACACTGGGACAAGCGAACAACAGACATGCGAGGGAATTTCTGGAGGCCTGGTTCTCAACATGGGACTCCATTAACAAACACATAGATGCAGACCAACGCTTTGATTAGAGGTCACACTGATGATCTTGCTTATAATGGCAACGAAATGTCTGTGCACCACAGAACAACCAGCTAGGTGAGCAAACGAACAACCGCATAAAATTATAGTTCATGCGGATAACAGTTCCTGTCAGAAAGCTGTGGTGAATGTGTGTTTAGTTACACCTGAGGCCACCATCACTTAATATTAATAGGAATTACACTCAGTCAATCTATCAAGCAAGTTTATCAAAGGGAAATCATTGAGAAAAATATCTTTTGTTCCAACAACAACAAAAGTTGCTGGAAAAGTTCAGCAGGTCTGGCAGCATCTGTGAAGGAAAAAACAGATGTTCTGAGGAAGGGTCACTGGACCTGAAATGTTAACTCTGTTTTTTCCTTCACAGATGCTGCCAGACCTGCTGAGCTTTTCCAGCAACTTTTGTTTTTGTTCCTAATTTACAGCACCTGCAGTTCTTTTGGTTTTTATCTTTTGTTCCAATGCTTTTTGATATTTGTACCCGCTGAAAATTTAAGACCTAGCATCAGCCACACCTTTGTTATAATGAGACTGGTCTTCAAAAGCCTACACGATGTATTGTTAAAAAAAATTCTTAGCAGATTACTGTGGTCTCAGCTGTCTGTGCTCATACTGACAGGCTGTTATCTGATGTGTAACTATAAGAGTTCCCAGCTAGGCAGTTAAGGAGAGTACTGTGTGAAAATAAACAGAGGGGAATTTGATGAGGGGAGGAAGAAGGAGGCATCATTGAACTGGCTTTGCCTGAATTTCACTTTATACTAAATGGTAATAATAGAAAGTTGAAAGTGCCTGTGGGGAATTCCACATGTCTGATCATGGTCGTCACTCCTGCTGCCTCCATCACCGGTGAGGATATCAAGATCAGAGCGAGCTCCAGGAGTAACACAAATGCTCAACAAGTGAAGTCTAGACTTGAAGGGTGGGGATGAGAAGACATAGAGTCATACAGCATGGAGACAGGCGTTTCAGCCCAACTCGTACATACTGACCAGGTTTCCCAAACTGAAGTAGTCCCATTTGCTGTGTTTGGGCCATATCCTCTAAATCTTTCCTGAACAATTTCTCCAATCAATTCTCAGAGAATGTAAATAGGTTAAAGAACTAGTTAAATAACATTTATGTAAAAGTTATGTGAAACTTTCTGGGAGATGTACTGTAGTAGAATGAGAATGGATATAATGTGATTTTCATGTCTACCATGATGCAACAGCAATATTAACAGTCATGTACAAGAGACTGTTAAGAGAGGATGGAATAATCTGTACTGATTAGAGCTGAACTAATGGAGTGTGTACATATTGTGTACAATAATATAAATATGAGAGTTTGTATACACCTACCAGAGTCATTCTTAGATAAGGGCAAACAGCTACAGGCCATATATTACCAAGAAGAGGCCAGGGTAGCCATTTTTGCGTTGTGCAGAACTAAACCCCCAGCCATAAGATCTGTGGCAATACAAATGTAATACGCTCCCGGGTGAAGGCAGGGGCCTCGTGACTAGAGCTGGGAAAAAGACTAATGGGTCAAAATGGACAGTGGGAAAGATATAAAAGCTGGCAGTTTCAAGGCATTGAGATTAAGCTACTGAGAAGACATCAGGATTGAGATCTCCTACTTCCCTCCAGAATGGGGGGAAGAGTCAGAAAGCAGGACAGCCTAGACCACATAGACCTCAGCCAAAAACTACATCAGAAAGACAGGGATGAGATCTTCTACACATTTTAGCATTAGAAGTCCACAGAACAAAAAAACGGCCCTTCAGCTTATCGAGTTTGCACAGGTCAAAAACTAATACCTAACTATTCGAATCCTACTTTCTAGCACTTGGTCCATAGCCTTGTCTACGCTAGCATTGCAAGTACACATCTAAACACTTCTTAAAAGTTATAGAGGTTTCTGCCTCTACCACCCTTGAGGGCAGTCCACAATTCATAATTAGCAGTTCAAAATGTTGCTCTTAAATTCCAGTCTGCTACGTTTTGTTCCAACTCATTGATAAAATGTATGGACTATTTTTAGGGTGCAGGGAGTGCAAAGAGTCGGTTCTGTTATTTAAGCACTACTTCTGCTCAATCTGAATTTGAAAACTATTCAGATGCACTGTGTACATGTTGTTTGATTCAACAGTAAGAGATCATCAACCATGCATTACATGATAGAGTGAGAGATACGTTATGTTTCTACCTGTTCATGCACCAAAAATCAGGCTTCCAGACAATACATGATTTATTACTCCCCATACATGCAGTAGTTAGATATATGTCCCAGCTGTTAAAACATCAATGAGCTCTTCTGTGGCAGGTGAACTGGTTTGTGTTACCAACGCCTAATATTTCTTCAAATTTATTCAGTTTTTTCTATCGGGGAGAGTGACAGATTACTTTCCAGGATTATTGTCTATACGTCATAGATGTCAGATCAATCACACAAATTCCATATTTCTATTTAGCCACAAATCCACCAATAATTTCATCATAAATCTAACACATGAAATTCTAAAGACTAACATTGGGGCGATGGAAGGTCACTGCTGTGGTTACTGATGCATACATCAGATCTTTACGTGATGCCATTTTATCCCTTCTGATCTGCTTTCCAGGATCTGGTACATGTCGCTTTAGCTATACTGATCCTGGTATCATCGTCTCCTACAGCAAGAACACCTCAGCTGATTGGATTATTCTGGAGAAAATTAGGTTTGTACAAATGAATGTTAATGGCAAGGAACCGAAAGAAGGGAGATGTGGTACCATACTGCCCACCATTAAGCTCTTGTCCCTAAGCCTTGATTTAATATGTGAGTAATGTGGAAGTCTTTGCAGATGTTAAATATGTAATCACTAGCCAAGGGTCATGAATTGGTTCCTAGAGATAAATTGCTGAGTTGAGATCCTTTGTATGTTTAAATGCTGCTAATAATACACACAAACGCGAGAAAGGAGGGAAATGCTTGCACTATCTTGTTTGATTGATTGGCTCTATCATAAGATTGAGAGCAATGGTTGAGAAATATGTAATCACCCCTTTTCTGTGAGAAGAGGATGTGAGCAGGATGAAAGACCAGGTGAAAGATAGCAAGAAAATTGCACAAAAAAGGCTTTTTTTTTAATAACAGGGCTCCATCTAACATCAGCACCGTTATCCACATAATCTATCTTCCTCAAGATGCGAAAGGTGAAAACATCAAATTTAAATGGAAGCAAGAGCAGCTCCATGGAAGTGATGTCTATGAGGCTTGTTGGGCCCTGGATAACATACTGATCATCAATGCTGCACACAAACAGATGCTTCTGGAAGATAATCTAGACCCAGTCGACACAGGCCACTGGCTTTTCTTTCCTGGAGCCACAGTAAAGGTTTGATCCAGTTAATTCCCTTATCGTAGTCACTTATTGTTTTGTACTTAGCTCTTTGCTGTGTCTTGATTCTAATTGATAAGCTCTATACCTCTGTAGAGCAGTCATACCCAGTGACTAATCAGTTAAAATATGACAGTCATTAAAAGTCTTTTCTGTTGGAAGGGCACATTAATTTAAACCTGCTTGCGAATGACATTTAATGCCGTTCTATACAGAATTTGAGTTGCAATTACGTCTTGGTCCGTCTGGCTATCAAATATGTCCTTCTGTCTGGCTGGGTTGAATGACATCCTCTTAATTTAGGAAATTTATGATGTTCACTTGTTCTGAAATGAAGGTGTTGAGGGCAGATTCCTCTCCATCTGTCACCAGCAATTTGCAGTCTGCCATTTCCCAAACCCAATGCCTGTAATCCAACAGCAGTAATCCTAACTAAGCGTGAGGCCCAGCTGTCGGGAAATATCATCACAACAGTGAAGCCTCAGGGAGAAAATCCAGAACCTATTTTGATAATAATCCTTGATGTGCATCTAGCTGTGCAATAATAAATGTGACAGGAAACATTTCTTAAGACATGAAGGTGAGGTCATTTAGACTTGTATGTGAAGGGAAGCCTTGAAATGGGAATTGTTTTAGCTCCACCTAACAACCTGCTTGCATTGGAAACAAACCTCTGCTCCCTGGTTATTTTCATTATTTTCTGCCATCGGTGTTGACATTATTTGCTTTAGCAAAATGCAATTTAGAAGAATAAGAAGCAATCTAATTGAAGCATGTAAGTTCTTTTCGGAGTCTGACAACATACATGCTAAGATTGGACAGTGTTAAAACTGCAGATGAGCTCTTTCATTTTAACCACTCGTATGCTTCTTTCCTACTTATTGGAGAGAATTAAAATCAATCTGCATATTATTAATTTTCACATACTTGGAACTCAGAATGACTAACAATTATTAAATTTTCAAAACTGTTTAAATTCAGTGTTTCTATGTTTTGTTTCAAGTCTTATTTATAACATGTTTTATGTTTTAACATATATTATGTTTTAAAGTTAAGTCAATGTATTTGATGTATTTTAGCATTCTAATATTTTACATTTTCATTGTATGTTAAGTATATGAGTATCAGTAATGATGATTAATAAGAGTGCAGTCATCTGCTTTAGATAGCATTGTCTAGTAATTGGATACAGTGCAATCAAATTAATTTAATGTCCCATTTATGAATGAAAGATGGATTTATTTCTGGTTAAGAAGAGATTTAAAATGAAGTCTGGGTTGTAATAGGAATGCTAGAATTGGCTACATCATTCCCTGATTAGGAAAAGGGAAAAAAATTAGTCGGCATCACTGTTTTTGATCGGCATCCAGTGACCACCAGCTGGAAGTGGATGTGTGAACATCTGGTGCCTAACTAGATTAGGCTCAGTTATGGTGCCTCTTACAGTTGAATAGGCTGCTGACACTCACTTTCAGGTTCCCACGTGCGGATTGGACACTGGGGCAAAGTGGAGGAGACATTCTGATACCTGTGGCAGGCCAGTGGCAAATAAGATCCTTCAAGAAAGACAAGGGATGGTTGATTGTAAGAGGAAGTAAAGTTCAGTTTCCCAGTTACTAACAAAATATTCCTTAAAATTCAAAAATATGCTGTGTATGTTTATTTCTAAGACTAATTCCAAGAACATTCAAACCATTAACAACATTATAATGAGTTTAGAAGAGTTTACAATTAATTAGCTTACATTCAATGTGCAGATCTTATCTCCCCATTTTAAAGTTGGCTCAGATTTTCAGGCCATAACAATTCATTTGAGGGTATAATTTTGCACTGGTTTTAGCTCAACGCCACACAAATGCAGAAAGATGAAATACCTAGCTCTTTTGACATTGTATTTATTTTCCACCAATTGTTATTTTTTAGCCATATCTTCTGAGAAATTTTTACCTTGCTAAGCATTAACGGTTGAAAGTTAAAGTAGAGAGAAATACAACGAAGTACTTCAAAATACTTTAATATACTTTTACATGTTTGTTACAACAGTTACATGCACACCATACCCGGGTTACCTGACACATTCATCCAATCTAATTCAACTAGTTTCCATTGTTTTGACCTGGATAAAGCATCCTGACTGTGGAAGGGAGAAGTTGGCATTATATCAACATGAAGGAATCAATCCCACATATCTAATACAAGAGGCATTGTATTCCTCTGTAAAGTATTGTGAATTAGAACTATGTGTTTCAGCCACATATTTGTTTTCTGTAACTTCCCCTACCAGCAAGTAAAATAACAGGCAGAAACAAAGTAGACTTGCCCTCAACTTTACTTAATTCATTTTTACTCTTTCTGCTGTCGCAATTTTCTGCCTTTCCTTTCACTCCTAATAGCAATGACTGTTGGATGCTACAAGCCTGGAGCTGCCAATAGCTTCAAAGACCCTCATAAGCCTAGTATCATAAAACACTGGTAAAATACAAACACAACCCTCAGCACTGTGTTGTATTTAAGATGAAATGACCTATCATGATGAATAGCATATTGCATGATATCATTCTCAATTCTTATTCAATATTTGGTGTTTACATACTCCAGAATGAATACTGTAGGATTTAATTTGTGAAAATGAAGTATAATTGAATAGACATTTTCATTTCCTACCTGAGATTTTAAAATATAAATGCTTCAAAGGGTACACAAAATGAATATTTCCCAACATGGGATTAGGCTTGCGTAAGCCATGAAATTACAACAGCAGATTTCGTGTGCTTCATTCTAAATATGAAATAAAATATCCATAGATGTCAATACTTTAATGTTTTCATATCTAAATAGGAAATATTTTATTTTCATTCAGGAATAATCTTCCTGAAGGGTTTTCAGTTTAAATTCCTGCAAATCATCTCCTTTTCAATCTCCTGATTCATCATTTGTAACCTGGTAACTGGCCTGAGTGGCAAAATCCCAGGTATCAATTTTCCATGGAATGTCTGAACAACCCTTTCAATTGTGGCCCATCCTCAATATTAACATGACAAATAGCCTAAATTGTAACTCTGACATTCCAGATCTGATTATTGCCCTTAGACTGAAGTCCTACGCCGAGAGATCCACTCCTGGTGGCAATGTCCCTATTCACACTGCATCAGCTGAAGCTGTTGAATGGATTGCTAACCTTGACATCAGCTAAAACTGCTTCTTTGGCCTTTTGAAGAAATAATACCTTTTCCTGAACTCTACTCAAGTCAAGTCAAATCAGCCAGTCCTGTCGAAGGGTTTTGGCCCAAAATGTTCTCACACTCCCCAGTCCGAAACATTTGCTCCTCGGACGCTGTCAGACTGGCTGTGCTTTTCCAGCTCCACATTTATTGACTCTAGCTTCCAGCATCCACAGTCCTTACTGTTTCCAAGTTGATGAAAACCAAACTGCAAAGTCCAAGGATGCCCACCTTGAAGAAGTTTTCCTCCTCCCTCCAAATAGAGCTCAGTGAGTCTCTCTCCCACTGCAGCCCTCTGGTTATCTCCTCTGCCCTGAAGCTCTTCGACCACATTCTGAAGCAATCCTGCTACCACAGCCATGTCTTCTTCCTCAGCACCTGTTACTCACCTATCCGCTCCACCCTTCCCACTGACCAACCCTACCTGCATCCACCTATCTCCATCTCACCTACCCTCCCTCTATTTATTTTTGGGCTCTCCTCCCCCTCCCCAGTCCTGACGAAGGGTTTTGGCACAAAACATTTGCTCCTCGGCTGCTGTCTGACCGGCTGTGCATTTCTAGCTCCACGTTTATTGACTCTAGTTTCCAGCATCTGCAGTCTCTACTGTCACCAAGCGTTTGTTGATGCCCTGGAGGGTGTCCATTAGCAGTGATATCTCATAAAGATATTTTAAAAATAAAGTGCAAAATACCTAAAAATGAAAAGAAATAATGAAAGGGTATGTGGTGTAATAAAAATAATGTGTTAAACAAGACGGGACTTTTGCTTTAATTTTTAAAAGTCGGCGTAATATTGCCGTCAGAAATAATCGGAGGAGAGCACTCACAGTTGACAATCATCATCGGATCATTGGTGTCAGTCAACATATCGTTTATTGCTTCCCAATTCAGTACATGATCTCTTAGCAATCTAATATAGTTCAATTTATGTCACAATGACTGCCCCTAAAATAGACATATCTTAATTGTTTTGGAGTTTCAACAATTATGTATCATCATCAGTCTTTTGAGCCTGAGTCTCAATCATCAATCTCTGGTGATGTAGCGGTAGTATCATTGAACCAGTAATCAAGAGACCAGTTTATTCCTGTTGTGAAATATGTTCAGTTCCCACCAGGGCAGCTGGTGGAAGTTAAATTCCATTAAAAAATACAGTGATCATGAAACCATCTGATTTGTTAATGTTTTTTAAGGAAGGAAATCTGACTTCCTTATCCAGTCTGGCCTAAATGTGATTCCAGACCCACAGTGATGTTGACTTTTAGCTGCCCATGAATAGGCCAAACAAGCTATTCAGTTCAAAGGCAAGTAGGGGTGGGCAATAAATGCTGGCCTTACTAACAATACCAACATCTCATGAAAGAATCAAGCAAAAATAGGCCTGAATGAATATTGCAGATATTAACCTTCTTATATGTAATTTTGTTCTTCAGCTTGTTAGTTGTAAAATGAACATCTTTTCTGTGATGAGACTCTTGTCCTGAAGATGCCTTTTCAGAACAAACGTAAAATTAGTTGCACCCAAGTACCTACTGTCCTCTCTAACCTGGCAGTTAATACTGACACAAATAACATGCAATTGATTCTACTTACTGGGCAATGACAGCTGTAACTCCAGATGCTGAGTAAGCATGTGGATTCAGTATCCAATGAAAAATGACATGATGGATAACAAACAGAATTAAAAATTAAACTGAATCGATTGTAGAGATTGGTTCTGACCAGGCTAGAATTCATTTCTATTTTACCTCAATTTATTTGTTTAACTTTACTA